TTGCACTTCTGCTACAGGTCTTGTACCTATGGATCACAGTGTAAACACAAGAGAAAAATACCAGAATTTTAGTTGGTTGTAGTGAAAGGGATGGAAGATATGATAGTTGGAGGAATTGGAAACGTGTCAACCTTAACTGGATTTGATAAGGCATTGTTGTTAGCAGAAAGGACTGCCAATCATGCAAATTACAGATTGGGGATACCGAAATGAAACAGGTGCAACAATTCAGTTATCTGGAGCAGCGTATTGACAGTGAACGCAAAGTGCAAGAGGAAAATCCGAAAGCGCGTTGGGATAATGAAATATGCCTTCCAAAAGATGAGCAAAATATCAAGAAATAGAAAAGTATCATTAGAAACTGAGAAAATAGTATCGAACTTTTATGTCCTATGCTGGACAATCTCCTCGCAGATGAAGTAGAGACTTGAAGCAACAGAAACAAAGAAAAGAGTACTGAACTGTTACGTAATATCAGTCCTCCTATATGGCAGTGAATGTTGGACAATCTCCTCACAGATGAAGAAGAGACTTGAAGCAACAGAAATAAAGAAAAGAGTACTGAACTGTTACGTAATATCAGTCCTTCTATATGGCAGTGAATGCTGGACAATCTCCTCGCAGATGAAGTAGAGACTTGAAGCAACAGAAATAAAGAAAAGAGTACTGAACTGTTACGTAATATCAGTCCTCCTATATGGCAGTGAATGCTGGACAATCTCCTCACAGATGAAGAAGAGACTTGAAGCAACAGAAATAAAGAAAAGAGTACTGAACTGTTACGTAATATCAGTCCTCCTATATGGCAGTGAATGCTGGACACCCCTCACAGATGAAGTAGAGACTTGAAGCAACAGAAATAAAGAAAAGAGTACTGAACTGTTACGTAATATCAGTCCTCCTATATGGCAGTGAATGCTGGACAATCTCCTCACAGATGAAGAAGAGACTTGAAGCAACAGAAAGAAAGAAAAGAGTACTGAACTGTTACATAATATTAGTCCTCCTATATGGCAGTGAATGCTGGACAATCTCCTCACAGATGAAGAAGAGACTTGAAGCAACAGAAACAAAGAAAAGAGTACTGAATTGTTATGTAATATCAGTCCTCCTATATGGCAGTGAATGCTGGACAATCTCCTCACAGATGAAGAAGAGACTTGAAGCAACAGAAAGAAAGAAAAGAGTACTGAAGTGTTACATAATATTAGTCCTCCTATATGGCAGTGAATGCTGGACAATCTCCTCACAGATGAAGAAGAGACTTGAAGCAACAGAAACAAAGAAAAGAGTACTGAATTGTTATGTAATATCAGTCCTCCTATATGGCAGTGAATGCTGGACAATCTCCTCACAGATGAAGAAGAGACTTGAAGCAACAGAAAGAAAGAAAAGAGTACTGAACTGTTACATAATATTAGTCCTCCTATATGGCAGTGAATGCTGGACAATCTCCTCACAAATGAAGAAGAGACTTGAAGCAACAGAAACAAAGAAAAGAGTACTGAATTGTTATGTAATATCAGTCCTCCTATATGGCAGTGAATGCTGGACAATCTCCTCACAGATGAAGAAGAGACTTGAAGCAAGAGAAACAAAGAAAAGAGTACTGAACTGTTACGTAATATCAGTCCTCCTAAATGGAATGAATGCTGGACAATCTCCTCGCAGATGAAGAAGAGACTTGAATCAACAGAAATAAAGAAAAGAGTATTGAACTGTTACGTAATATCAGTCCTCCTATATGGCAGTGAATGCTGGACAAACGCAGATGAAGTAGAGACTTGAAGCAACAGAAATAAAAGAAAAGAGTACTGAAAAAACGTAAATCAGTCCTCCTATATGGCAGTGAATGCTGGACAATCTCCTCACAGATGAAGAAGAGACTTGAAGCAACAGAAAGAAAGAAAAGTGTACTGAAGTGTTACATAATATTAGTCCTCCTATATGGCAGTGAATGCTGGACAATCTCCTCACAGATGAAGAAGAGACTTGAAGCAACAGAAACAAAGAAAAGAGTACTGAATTTTAATATCAGTCCTCCTATATGGCAGTGAATGCTGGACAATTTCCTCACAGATGAAGAAGAGACTTGAAGCAACAGAAAGAAAGAAAAGAGTACTGAACTGTTACATAATATTAGTCCTCCTATATGGCAGTGAATGCTGGACAAAAGGACAGATGAAGAAGAGACTTGAAGCAAGAGAAACAAAGAAAAGAGTACTGAACTGTTACGTGCATCAGTCCTCCTATATGGCAGTGAATGCTGAACAATCTCCTCACAGATGAAGAAGAGACTTGAAACAACAGAAACAAAGAAAAGAGTACTGAAGTGTTACATAATATCAGTCCTCCTATATGGCAGTGAATGCTGGACAATCTTCACAGATGAAGAAGAGACTTGAAGCAAGAGAAACAAAGAAAAGTGTACTGAACTGTTACGTAATATCAGTCCTCCTATATGGCAGTGAATGCTGAACAATCTCCTCACAGATGAAGAAGAGACTTGAAACAACAGAAACAAAGAAAAGAGTACTGAAGTGTTACATAATATCAGTCCTCCTATATGGCAGTGAATGCTGGACAATCTTCTCACAGATGAAGAAGAGACTTGAAGCAAGAGAAACAAAGAAAAGAGTACTGAACTGTTACGTAATATCAGTCCTCCTATATGGCAGTGAATGCTGAACAATCTCCTCACAGATGAAGAAGAGACTTGAAACAACAGAAACAAAGAAAAGAGTACTGAACTGTTACATAATATCAGTCCTCCTATATGGCAGTGAATGCTGGACAATCTCCTCACAGATGAAGAAGATACTTGAAGCAAGAGAAACAAAGAAAAGAGTACTGAACTGTTACGTAATATCAGTCCTCCTATATGTCAGTGAATGCTGGACAATCTCCTCACAGATGAAGAAGAGACTCGTACAACTGAAATGTGTTTATACAGAAGGCTGCTGAGCATTCCATGAATTGAACATGTGAGCAATGATAATTTTCTAGAGACAATGACAACAAAAAGAAACGTCTACTGAACATAAGGAAGAGAGATTTTAAATTTCTGCGGCTCTTTATGATACGATTTCTTCAGAAATTTCATACTCATAGAACTCGCCATGATCTTCTTCAATCATTAACTTAAGAATTAAAATTCATCAGAAATTTCAAATAGGAAAAACCTTGAAATTTTCACGGGTTACAGCTAGTAATAATCCTTAGTGGTACTCATAAAAACTTCAGTTTTGTGATTTTAATCTTCTGATGAGTCTTTAGTTGAGGATTGAACCATCTCCTGACGAGTTCGACGAATATAAAATACCCATGGAAATTTCCCTGTTGCATTATTAGATATCTGAGCTCAAAAACCTTCACCAAATATGGCGTTAAGAAAAGGTTAATATCTAAAGAGAGGATACAAATGAAAAGATTTGAAATTCACTATTTTTCCCATTTCATTAAACCATTTCATCCCTGACCACCGCTTTACCGGTTGAATAGAAAAAGTACCTAATGCCCAGCCACCGGTTGAACAGTGTTAGACAAAAATGCTTTAATGCCGAGCCACCGGTTGAACGGTGGTAGAGAAATATTACTTAATGCCCAGCCACCGGTTGAACGGTGGTTAAACACATGTAACTATTTTTATATCTACCATGAAACATTATATACCAATTATTTGCGAATTTTGACTCAGGAGCTCAGGCAGAAGGGTTGAAATTGTTCAGGAAAGCAAGGATCAAAGAGTTAAAGTAGACGTTTTTGGTTAAAGTTACTAAGCTCAAATACTTAACGATGACATAGGTAAATTTTCACGGAGATTTTATAGTCACAGAACTTATGAATTATGATTCATCAGAAAAATCAAATTGGAAACCATGAAATTGTCACGTGACTTTCTAGTTATTATTATTATTATTATTATTATTATTATTATTATTATTAATATTATTATTGTATTTATTGTTGTTATTCACCTATACACCTTCAAGCCACACACAAGAGAGATATTGCCTCCTCTGTCTTTTCTTTCCTTCTTTATTTCACTGACCAGCGTCTCTGATATGTCTTTTCCACACTTTTCTCACGATCCATGGCATCTCGGCTTCAGTCGCCTTCCTATTGCTTCCCTGTGGCCTTTCGCTTAATATTTTTAGGGTAACTGTTCTTATGAGGTTTGCCCTTTGATATCTAGATTTTATGAATGTGAGCGCAGTACTAGATTGGCAGTAAGGTTTCATCATTTTACCGTTGAAATGGCTAGAGGCAACCGCAGGTTCTAGGCTATCAATTTCTTATCTTGCACCCCCCGCTTTTGTAACTCTTTCTTTCCCGCCTCTTGCTTTGCAGTCAATTTTAAATGCAACATCAATTGTCTGCTGACCTGAGATTGAACAAATACATTGAGTCAATAGCTTCGTCCATCGCAAGGAAAGTTGGCTCCCTGTGACGCGTCAGGAAATTTTTCTCCCCGGAATCAATCCTTCAAATCTACAAAACAACCATTCGCCCTTGCATGGAGTATTGCTTCCATATATGGTCTGGAACCCCTTATCTTTGTCTCAAGGTCTTTGATAAAATCCAGAGATGGATATGCAATGTAATTGGCCCTGATCTGGCATCTCGTCTGCAGTCACTCTCTCACAGGCGTGCAGTCGCCTCTCTCTGTCTTTTTTTTTTTTTACAAATACTTTCATGGCAATTGCTCCGAGGAGCTGCATTCGCTGGTTCCCAGGCTTCATGAATTCAAGAGTCCTACGAGGCTGGCATCCCGCTCTCACCCTTTCACTGTCGAAACTCCTAAATGTAGCCGTCTCTTCTACTCCAATAGCTTCATATCTCGCACCTCTCGCCTGTGGAACTCTCTTCACTATTCCAGTTTCCCTGATAGCTATAATCTCCAACTATTCAAATGTAATGTCAATCGACATCTCCAGTTGCCTTGTTCTATCCACTATCCTTCTCCTCTTCCTTTCCTCTATCACTCCTATCTGATCTTG